TCTCAATTAACTGTTTGTAGTGTGAGGTTTGAACTCCTGGTATTCATGGTGAAATTACTTTATTTAGTTTACACATATATTTTAAAATAGATGTATAAGCATATTTAAAGTGAAGGTCTAGGACTCAACAGCCACCTTGCCAGCACTGTAATAATCACAGACTTGGGGAAGTGTGGATTTAGTCTATTTAATAATTAAAACAATAAAGTTAACTGTCACCCAAGCCAGTTTTAAAATGTTTATTCAGTAGCCATAAATTGTACTAGGAGAGGGTACATCAACTGTATGAGTTTGTCTTAAAAACAATAACAACAACAAAAATCCGTTTATTATTATAGCTAGACAATCCCAAACTGGGAAAATTTTCATAAGCAAGACAAAAAAAGGTACTGTCACATGCACAGATTATATGACCTGTTACACTTCTAGTAACATTCTGAACTGAACAGTGATGCTTGACCAGACCAAAAGTCCATCTTGCCTAGTATCCTGTTTTGGAGCAGGGCCAAAAGGTGATGATCAGGGAAATGTATAAGCACAGCACAAGCACCAGAAAATAGCAGCTCAGGGATCTCCTAAATTAAACTAATATTTTATATATTTAATAGTCCTCATGGATTTTTCTTTCATGCTTTTGTCTTAGGTTTGTGCTACAACACAAGTTTAAAAAGGATTTGCATTTTAATTTAAAATCAAATGCTGCAAGTGACTGCAGAAAAGAACCTCTAGTAAAGTTCATTATGCATGACGAAAACTTCAGTAACTTGGCTGTCAGTCAAACTCCTCCTCTACATTCTACCCTTAATTTCTAAAATAGTTACTGAATAGGAGCATTTAAAATTATCTTCAGTAAAAAACAGGAAATAAAAATTAAAAATAAAAAATCTGGGAGATTTTGCAATCACTGAAGTCTCCAACTCTTGTATTTACTCTTTGGATGCCTGGCTGCCTGTTTTGGGAAGCTGTCAGTTCACCAGAGCTTGTTCTGGACTGAAGCACAGAGTTGTTCTGTTCCCTGCTCCCTGAAGCTGCTAGACAGAAAAGCTTAAAAAAGCAGTGGGACGAGTACTTTGTCACGTCCCTGAAGAAGCAGCATAATCTCCCTGCTGGTGAGTTAATGACAACAGGAGCTGCACACAAGTGTCAGGGGAAAGGAGCTGGGGACTGAGCCCCTGGGTCTCTGTACTCACCCGTAAGAAAGCCCAGCAAGAAACAGCCGAGCAGCCCAGGGCACACCAGCCACACACGGAGGCTCCTGGCCATTCGGTCAGCACTGGCCGGCAGCTTGGCAAGCTCTGAGGGCTGGCAAGCAGCTGCCTTCCTCCTCCTCCTCCTCCTCCTCCTC